TTCTCAGTCAGTTCGGTTAAAATATGAAAAAATAGGCCAGAATGAATTCACTGTTCCAAGTAATGAGCTTACATACATAAATTTCACGTGGACAATCACCCAGACTAGAAACGATTATCTGTAGGCCACAAAAATAGTTGTCTCGTGTGGGAATCGTGGGTTCGATGGGAGATGGGAATTTAACACGCTATAAAAATTTACTTAGTACCCATCCCTTGACCATGGATGACGTGATGTATCAAGTTAAAATTTCACACACACAATCGAACAAAACTAGTCATCGTCCCCCTACTATCCCACCCCAATCATAATCAGCACCATTTCTTTTACAAACATAAATTTCACGCGGACAAACACCCAGATGCGAAACAACTGTCTGTGGGTCTCTCAAATAGTTGTACCGTGTGGGAATCGAACCGACGACCCCCGACGCCGAAGCCAATAGCTTGGCGACTGCGCCACTTAATCAAAGCACTAATCGGTGGTTATCGTTAACTTAGACTGTACCTAATTGTTCCCGATCCAACACGTTTAAATTAATTGTATCATCGTACGTATAGGTACGATATATAACGAGTATACGATATATGTTGTATACAGCGTGTCGTTACTATCGCGACAATAAATGAACACACGTCTAACGCTACTGCCAATAATCATAAAAAAATATTAACGTTAAACAAAATCCATAATTAAAAAAAAATATTTTTCAAACAAACTAATTAAGTTAAAAAGAAACAAAATTTATAACATCCTATACAACTCGCGCAACAGCGTCGTATTACAAGCCTCTCCTTCTAACAGTATGTTTTGTCTCTTTTAAATTCATTCAACCCATTCATATGCTTTGTTACCTTTACAAATGAACTTTATGTTACGCTTTTATAGGTAAGGGGGTTCTAAAATTCTTTGTTTTGGAAAATTTAATAACTCTGTAAATATTGATGTTTAAAGAATTTAAATGTTTAATACAACTTTAAAAAGTTATCCCCTATATGTGTGTTCATTTATTTATTGTCGCGATGATAACGACACGCTGTATATAGCTCGCGAGCGTCGAGCACAAATTAACATCCGGAGCAGCGATGGCAATTTGTTGGCCCTTTAATTGCACAAATACTTGCATCGTTAATTCGGATTACCACCGGGATAAATACGCGAGGGGCGGAACGGATATCCGTTCTGAGCTACTAGGAAACAATTGTCGGCGAATTACGGACGCGCTTTATTCAAACGAGGCAGGTAGCGGAAGACGTGTCGCGTTCTTAGTTTCAGACTGTGGTAGTTTAAATTTGTGAGTTTACTGTTGATACTATTTTTTCATGTGAGAAGGTGGCAAGCGTGGCAAGTAGTGGTACTTCCCCGAACGGACCTGCCCATTGGTGCAACAGTGAGGCCCTTTATCACCCATTATTATTTTAACACTCGGTAACAGATCACGAACTCTATCAAACAAAGAAGATCTCTAAATAAATAAATATTTCAGAACATATTTTCACACAATCTAGTCCCAAACTAATATGGATAATTATGGATACTAAGTAACTGACAAATATATAAGTAATTATTAATAATAAGTAATTAACATACTTAAACATTTCACTTTTGTAAATAAATGCATATTATAGATATATAATCATCCAGACATTAGGAAAACTATATTCTTCCCGCACTGGGCATCGAACCCGCACTGTAAAAATACTGATCCGCTATCAAAAAGATGTATTACGAAGATATCCCCAATGAAACAAAGATAACTGACATAGGACTATTAAAGCTTCATCTGACACAGAACCGGTGGGCTAGCCAGAACCCACGGGTCTGGGCCCTCCGCTGTTCGGTCCGAAACCCCGATGGCCGATTTTGGTCCGTGGCAGGCTGTGCAGAGGTCCTTTGTCCAACAGTGGACTCTAACAAGCTGAAATAATGGATGACGACGACGATAGTTTACTGCAAAATTTGTTTCCAACTCAACTCATAATTTAAAAACCGTCATGCGTTGTTTCGTCCGCAAACATGCTGGATGTACCGCGCTTCTAAATTGAAAAGACTACAAGCACTCGCCGCCCTAATGAGTTACCTAACGCAATACAATGCAGAGGCCTCGTCTAAACCTTTTATTAATTCATGCAGCTCTGGTACAACGCATCGGTCCCCTTTGATCCCTCACTAATGAGCCTTGTCGGAGATTCCTTCGAATGAAAAAAACTTTGCAGCATGTTAGTGGCCCGTCTCATCTGGAGCGAGCAGAAAATAGAAAGAAACAAAAACTGAAATAAAAAAACCGGCCAAGTGTGAGTCGGACTCTCGCACGAAGGGTTCCGTACATTATTTATAAAAAAATGGCAAAAAAAAAAATCATATTTGTTGGAAAGGCCCAACATAATTGTTTTTTTGTTGTTAGTATTTGCTGTTATAGCGGCAACAGAAATACATCACCTGTGAAAATTACAATTGTCTAACTATCACGGTTCACGAGATACAGCCTGGGGACAGACGGACAGACGGACAGCGCAGTCTTACCCAGATACCCATTAGTGTAGTCGACAGAAAATCCCTCCCGTTGTGAGTTCAATCCCCATCCCAGCCTGCTCGCTTTCCACCATCTCGTCTATAAAAATCAAAGGCGTTATTTGTGAGTACGCCACGTATATTTCATGCAAGTTAATGGTTCAAACATATACTACTTGTCCGTACTTATTATGTAAAGTAACTCTGTCTGTCTGTTTCGCTTTCACTCCAAAACTACTGAATCGATTTAAATGAAATTTGGTACACAGATAGTCTAGAGCCTGACAAAGGACATAGGCTATTTTATAATTGGAAAAAAGTGTTGTGAAGGGTTGAAACACAATTTTATTTAAGGACATCAACGCGAGCGAAGCCGCGGGCGAAAAGCTAGTAGTAGAATAAATTTAATACTTTCATAAAAACTTTTGCTTTAAAATTTTCCCATCAAGCTTTCCATCTTCCGTTAACTTCTCAAAACTGAAACTTCAGTTGCTCAAAAAAAAAGAATAATATGTAATTGTTCGAAGTTTTAGGACGTGTACCTACTTTGTATCCATAATTTCATGTAATTGCAAATTCTCACACCACAAAACCCCTATATTGCGAAAGTCTTTTTAAAAACTGAGTACCGCCGCCACTTATACACAAACTTAAGTACGATTATCCGCTTCAGCCTATGCATTACACACCTCGCTAAGTAGCCGGACTCTCGAAAATTGAAAATTACAGATAAGAGGGTTTTTCGCGCACAGAAATCGATCGATCAAAGTATTATCTTCGCCCACGTCCATTCCTCGTTTCTCACCCGACACGCGTCGCAAACGCCATCTGACGCTTTTTGTGCCGAATCCAAAGCGTTGATGGATGTCTTAGTGGATCTAGAGACAACCTCTAAGAAAATATCATACGAGCTATCGCGGCTTTAAACTCTAATGTATACGCCGAATAAATCTTTAACGTCTAATTGTATCGATATTTTGAGCCAGTAAATATTTATTATCTAATTATATCGATATTTTGTAGCGCGTAAATCTTTAATATCTAATTATATCGATATATTTAAGCCCGTAAATATTTCATATCTAATTATATCGACATTTTTAAGCGCGTAAATCTTTAATGTCTAATTACATCGACATTTTTAAGCCCGTAAATATTTAATATCTAATTATATCGACATTTTTAAGCGCGTAAATCTTTAATGTCTAATTATATCTACATTTTTAAGCGCGTAAATCTTTAATGTGTAATTATATTGATCTCTTTAAGCCCGAAGGACGACGGAACAGATACAAGACAGGGTGTTTAGAGACCTGTGGTTTATTATTGATGAATTCGGAGTAGAAAACTCCTGAAAATCAATTATAAAATGAATACCGAGCGAGATATTTTCACGAGTTCCCTACGTATCTCCGGAGCCCAAGATCAAATACCAATGAAATTAATGTGCGACCACGTGGGAAGCAACGGCTTTCAAATGAAAAAAGAACCATCGAAATCGATCCATTCAGACGAAAGTTCTGGGGTAACAAACAAAAACATACAGTCTAATGGAGAACCTCCGCCTTCTCTGAAATCGGTCGAAAACTGGCTCAACGCAGCAAGAGCCGTGAACACACGTGGGCTTAGACACACGTCTCATTACATCCGCGCGTAATAAGAAACACCCGAGGCGTGACATGGCGGAAACTTCGTTTAGTTTCATTCGCTGAGCTCGCGAAACGGCCGCAGCGAGACAGGGGCGGTGGAGCAACGTAATTTACGACCCACCGTGCAATTACTTGCGCCGGCGTTTTTGAGCGTAATAGCGAATACATTAATTTGGTGGAGTCGCGGCTTAATGTGAGACGATGACAAGCGAGTTGGTGGGTTTCCTGTTGCTAGATGCTAACCGCCGCCCATTGCAACACCAGTAGGGTTGCAGACGCGTCTCTCACCAGACGAAACGCACCAGTATAACTCTTGCAGTGAGGCCGTGGTACTTACCCGGACGGACCTGCCCTTTCGTACAACGGAGAAGTCCGTTGCGTGGCCCCATCATAGTCTGATGTAACATTCATTTCCAGCTCAGTAGAAGTTCGATGTTCGAACCGAATACCGGGTTGACGTACAAACGCTAATGCTTTTGCATTTCATATACGCAGAGAAATTACCAAAGGCTCATCTCAAGCCACCGAGGCTGCTACAAGTTATATGTCTAAAACACCAGAATGTTTTAACTATCCATAGGTGTTGGTAATCACTAAAGACTTAATTGATAGTTAACTTGTCTAGTGCTTCAGGTTGTGTGGGTGCGATCCCAGCTACTGGATAAATATCGTATGAAGAACAGTGTTTTTCTAGTGTCTGACTGACTATTTATATATTAATAATGTTTTTCACTAATTTGTTTTAATGGTACGATAACTTTGTATAAAAATTTTTGTTAAAAATATGACTATTACTAAACTGTCTGCTATTCTACCAACTTTTCACATAGAATATAACCAATGGATTTAATACCGAGCGAATTTGCAGATGACGGTCCACGGTTCCTGTCGAGGGGACACTCCTTCAGGACGGTGGTCGGAGACACCCTGCTGCTGCCGTGCCAAGTCCAGAACTTGGGTGAGTTGATGTTCTTCTATAAAGGAACGCCGTTTAACAAGTCCACACTGAGGTAAAGCTAGGTTGAGATGACCCTAATCTCAAGAGATTGTCTTATCTTTTCATCCTAACAGAGTATTCAGATTTTGCATTCATTTTCTTATAGGTAATCAATTGCATTTCCTTGCAAAATTAATAAACCAATAAATAATGGACTACATCCCCGTAGACAATCTCCAACAGTAAATCTACTAGTAATATTTTACAGGTGAAGAAATTATGAATGGAACTTTAAACTGATGATATAATTACTTAATATATGCATGCATACATTTGATTTGACTTAATTCAAAACTTGTCCACGAACCAATCTTTTAAACGTATAAGGAATTCTAAGAGTTCACTATGAAGAAGTAAATTAATTTTTAATTTATGAGTGAGCTGAATGACTAATCATGTCATCATATGCCGAAGAAAAAATATAAACCAGTATTTTTTTGCATTTATTGCTCCGGCTCTTTGAGATTCCAATCTAGGAACGTTTAATCATGAAACCTTTTCTGTTCCCACGTTATTAAGGCGGATTTTTTTATGTGTAAATGTGGCAAACGAGCTGGTGGTTCACCTTATGTTAAGTAATAACCGCCTTGCTTAAAAATGCGTTTCCACCTTTAAATACCTGCCCCGGCTACCTCACTCACCAGACGAAACGCAGAAGACCCTTCGAGACCAGCCAGACCTGCCCATTCGTGCAACAGTGAAAGCTGTTGCGCGGCCCTACAGTTATTTCAACGTCTCTGACGAAGAAAACATATTCGAAAAGTTGCAATGGTAACTGAGTTGGATTAAGCTGACCCAAACCGTTCACACTCCTCTTTCAATATTCAGGATCGCTGGTGCTGCTGTGGAGGAGGGGTCCGGCTGTCCTGACCGCGGCCAGCTTGATGGTCACCCGCGACGAGAGGTTCAGGCTCGTCGACGGCTACAACCTGCAGATCACTGACGTGGGGCCACAGGTAAGGAAAACATTTGAGATATAGAGGCAGTATTCAACTGTGGTAGGGACACGGTAAGTACCACGACCTCACAGAAGACCGGACTAAAGTGGAGGTATACAAAAACAAATACTTTCGCGTTTCGTCTGGTGAGTGAGGTAGCCGGAGCATAATTTTCAAAAGGTTGTCAACGCATCTGCAACCCTCTGGTGTAGCAGATGTCCATGGGTGGCGGTATTCACTTAACATCAGGTGAACCGCCTGCTCGCTTGGCAACTTTCACACAAAAATCAAGTATCTGAAGGGTCTAGAAAGATCTAGAAATCTGCATAGAAGAAAACATAACTGACTTGAATCAACAACAGTCAATGAAGTGTGTTCCAGTTTAACCACCCTCTTCACCAAACACAACTTAGGATCAATAAAACTGGTTTCCTTAAAAAAAAAGTATACACATAAACACTCATAACTTTATACTGTTTACATCGGACAAATTAATATTTAAATGTTGACAGTAACCCGCATTATGACGTTAGAAGGTAGGTATAACTCCTCGTACCTTCACTATGGAGTCTGTAAAGTGTTCGAAAAGACTGTAATTACAAAATTAAAAACGAAATTATATAAATAAGATTTAATTTATTTGACTTAATTCTAGATTTGTTTTTTACACAAAAGCCTTCATTGTAAGCCCTAAAAACGACTCAATCGTAAAAACAACAGAATATATCTCGATCGCATGAACTCCCAATTATCAACATTTCGCGCCGCGTAGTATTATCGCAAATTGGGCCATTACAACACTGAGAGGGGGATGGAAAAAAAACAGCAAACACCACAAAACGTCGTAAAATAGCGGCGAAAACGAGCCGCTGGGGAAACAAGAGCACGATGGCCGCCCAATTACCGGCGAACGCGACCTAATCGTATGCATCAAACAAATCGGCCCCTTAATAAGCCGTGGGAAGCGATTATGATATTTTACGGCCGCCGAAAATGCTAAACGTCGCACTAAACGGTAATTGGGCGCTGCAAAAGGCGATCGCGCCGTGAAAAAAACAACGCTCGTTATATTTTACGCGCCAAAACGGCTGCGATGGCGCGCGTTCCCGTCGCCATCTTGTTACCACGGCCATGTTTCGAGGAGGCAAATGCCGCATGCTTTACGGCCTATACAGAATCCCACTGGATTGTATTGTTAAAAGAAATGACTCGCGATTTTTTTATTACTTTTAGAGCATTGGACATAAGGGCTGCTATAAAGAGAAATAATAACACATAATTTTGAACGAAAAAAAGCCGACTTCAATAACGCGGGAAGTAAAACAACATTGTCAAATCTTATAAAATTTGAGGATTGCCCTCGATTTCTCGGGGATGCCATCATCAGATCTGTTTCCTTATCATGGTACCACCCTTAGGATATCTGCTTTCAAACAAAAAAAGAATCATCAAAATTGGTTCATAAATAACGAAGCTATCCCCGAAGACACATAAAAAAAATAAAAATATGTACGGTCGAATTGAGAAACCTCCTCCTTTTTGAAGTCGGTTAAAAATCTACAATTAATATTTCAAAGATCTCTTGAAACAGGACCAAAATTTATTAGGGCAATTCTCTTTTAAAACCGCGTTATCCCTAGGGATGTTGGCTATATTTCTTTTAAATAATAATAATAATAAAGCTTTATTTAAACAAAGTAGAGAACAAAGACATCATTTACAGTATTAAGCACAGTAGTTTTACAAATCGTGTTCACATTTGCATACTGAACCCTGCATTAGGCAGCAACCTGTCTCGCATGGATCAAATTGTCGATTAGCTAATTAGGATTATAACATTACTTTCACATCACAATTTAATTAATTAAAAGTTGCAAGAAGTATGTGTTTTTTTAATATTTAGAATATAGGTGTATTATTATGTATAATATGTTGATATTGTTTTGTATAGTGTGCGTGGTGGAGTCATTTTGCTGACCTAAGTAAGTCTTCTGTCTGCTGGTAATTCGATTGTAATAAGTTTTCGTCTAACTTTTTTTTTACAGGCAAATTGGTTCAAATGGAATATATCGAGTCTCTTGTGAAGTTCACTGTAATAATTTATTCACTTGGAAATATAAAAGTTTATAACTTATTGAAACCGTAAGAAAGACATCTTCCGTTTTCAAACTTTACATGATAAATTATTGTGAGGGCTAAATGGGAATTCTTAAATATTTATACCTTATTTTCTACTTTGAAATATTTTCGTATCTATTCACCCGTGCCGGGCCGAGCGAACGAGAAAGCAATTCATGAAATGGTAATTTCATTGTAAGTTATATTCGTGTACAATATAAATAATAGTAATTGGGTACGCTTAAATCAATCTAAACTTATTTGACGGTATACTCGTATGTATAGAAGTGTAAATAGCGAAAGAACAGAATAATACCAAAAAAAACTGGTCAAGTACAAGTTGAACTCGTACGCCGAGGGTTCCGTACCTACCCATTATATCGCCATAATAAAATTTGTATATAATCACCACCAATTTTCTCAGGAATGGGTGGACATAGCAAGTTGAAATTTATATATATTATGTCCCTATTAGGTGCATAAAAAAGGCTGAGTCAACACGATAAAGAGATATCGGCAAATTTAGATTTTCGCGAATACTAGTAAGTATCAAAATATACTTCAATTTTCAATTTTATTTCTTTTTCTCGTTTACTTGTGCCGTATTTATTCAATTTTACACATTGATGGGGATGATTTCTCCATTTTGTATACCGGTTTATACTATATGACTTAGGTCCTTTTTAGGCAGGTGATGGACGTTTACGCATAGACACGGTGCATTCCACTGTTGCATGTACGGGCGTACACGTAAATTATTATTATTATATATATTACTACATAAATTATATACTGAATTGCAGCTTCCAATCCTATTGGGTGTTGCATTTTTTATTTTTAACCGACTTCGAAAGGAGGATGTTCTCAATTCGACTGTATTTTTCTTTTTATGTTTGTTACCTCAGAAGTTTCGACTGACCGATTTTGATGATTCTTTTTTATTTGAAAACTAGTGCTCCCCATATTAATTTCATTGGTATTGGATCTTGAGCTACGGAGATGCATAGGGAACTCCTGAAAATCAATATAAAATGAATACAAAGCGAGACATTTCAAGTCGGTTTTGTTTTTCGTTAGTAAAAAAATTGACTTGTTTAAGTACAAAAATCACATTTGGAACCAAATGAGCTCGGTATAGCTACGATTAACCACCTCTGTCCACATGAAATCATTTATTCATCGCAATAAGAAACACACACATCATCTATCGATGGTGATATTTTCGAAACGGGCTACAAACTCCGAAGGAATCTTCATATCTGTCATCTCAAAAGTACAAACACTGCTGGCTTGAAAATAAGACATCTTATGGTTCCGTACCCAAAGGGTAAAATGGGACCCTATTACTAAGACTCCGCTGTCTGTCTGTCCATCTGTCACCAGGCTGTATCTCATGAACCGTGATAGTAAGACAGTTGAAACACAGCTGATGTATTTCAGTTGCCGCTGTAACAGCAAATATTAAAAAACCAGAATAAAAGATATTCAAGTGGGTCCCATACAAGAGACATGATTTTTATGCCGTTTTCATAGATTGCGGGTTTTTTTTTTACCTCATTGACGAAGCTTTGAAAAATTCTCATCGCATCCAAATTACGCCCGTTAAATTTCAGATTCAATTACAGCAGGAATCCTTTAATAATATCAACCACTCATCTCCGAATCGGGCGAGGTTAATTAACGATCTCGGAAAGCTTCTAATTTTTTTTTTCCAATCGTAAATCCTTCGAAAACGATGATACGTAAAGCGTGAAAAGAAAACTCATGAAAAAGATTCGATTTTAATTTCTTCGGTCATACTCGACTGTGGGTAGAGCCTTTAACGATTCGTAAGTATTTAATCGAATAAAACTTGTGGAATGTATGAAGATGCCAATCATATATTAACAGATTACTTAATTAAATTTATTCGATGTAGGTACGTTCCATATTTTGTCTAAGGCGGTTTTTTTATTTATATGAATTTTTACGATTAACTTAGAGATATAAGTCCTTCTGTGAACATATTAGTTAAAAGGTTTAATGGGACTGACATATGCATATGTGTGTAAAAGTCCCTAAATAAAATACAGAGAAAGAAAGAAGTATTTTCAAAAGGTTGTCAACGCATCTGTAACCCTCGGGTGTAGCAGACTTCCATGGGCGGTGGTATTCACTTACCATCAGGTCCCTATAATCTCTCGTAAAAAAATGCGACATCTCTCGTTTCAAGTATCGTTGTTACGATATTTATTATTTATATTATTTATATAGATAAATATAAGATATATATTATTTATATTACGATATTCGAAATTGTTTGTATGATGGAAAGGATATAACAATGGATGCGCCAAGCTTCAAATGCCAAAAAACGATGAAGATAAAAGGCGTTGAGCATTAAGTCGGTGTGGCAATCAGCCGTTTAGCTTAGTGGCTAGAGCGTCAGGGCGCGAATCCCGAAAACGTGGGTTCGATTCCCACAGCGGCGAGAAACTTTTCGTTGCTTTTTTCTACAACATTTTAACAGTAATTCATACCGCCATTTTTCGATTCCCACTGCAGATGATTGTTACTTTAATGTGAATTATCACAGATAATAAATTAGTTATAGTCAGACAAATATTTCATAAACTGAAGAGTACTTTTATTACAAATTTAACAGATTAAATAAAATCAAATTAGCTTGCTCGTTACGAGATCCGAGTCCAATTAAATTATTTTAAATTACGTTCAATACCTGGCCCTTTAGGAAAAATAGATGTAAATGTTTAAAAGGTCAATTAAAGCAATTTGTAGTTTATTATAAAATAATGACAATTATCCAGATGAAATTTAATTATTCGTCTACGTTAAATATGTCAGGTTTTCTAAAACTAAACTTCAAAAGAATTATAATATTAGCAATATATTAGTACTAA